GTAAGACCAGCTCGCATCCTCCGCAGCCAGCCGCCTGCTCACGGACCCTCAGGTGATCATGGCATACTTTCCCTCTGAGACAATGCCTGTCTAGGTTGGTCGATCATTACGACTAAATTTGTCTGCCATTTCGACGAGTTATCCTAACTCGGTCATCACGGACGGCCCACTCGTTGGTTGATCACGATACGTATTCAACTCTCCAAAGCGATTCAGAACCCTGGGCTCAAGAGACTCGAGGCTTTGACAACTTCGCTAAGATGCCGGCCCGCCGGTCTACCCCCACGTCAGCTCGCAAGATTTAACCCCGAATAGGACGCAGTTTCCATGATTATCGACTGCCAGGCGATGAGAGCCAGGAAATTTGAACTCTATTGGGGCCATCTACCACTCACAACACCATGTTCGTTGTTTATGTTTGCTTTTTCTGCTCATATTGCGGGGGACACAACCAAAAGCGCAACCCCTAGTTCTGATATTGACATGGAGCTCATGAACACATCCTCGCCCAGTGCGTCCATACATACGAGCCTTGGAAGTGGTGTTGTGGTTAGATATTTTGGCTGGCGTTGCTTTTCAGACATGCATCAAAGACTCCTTTTTACTATGCACAGCTATCTAGTCTTTGGCTACTGAAGTTGATTGCATATCCCAAGCCTTGCTTTGACAGAAGATTTCGGAACTGGTCTTTACCATTTGAAATCCGGAACCTCTCTCTCGAAATGCACATGAACTGGTCTCCTCTTTCTTCAAAGAGTATCTCAGATATGGGTAGTCAGCATCATCCGGATTCCCCAAAACAGTAACCCCTGATCAGCTCCGGAGCGTGCTCATCTACTCCGTACTATATGGCAAGACTCCAAAGCCACAACGGTTTCATCGCTAATTTTAATCACTACGCGTAACATGTCTCAGCAGATTCTACCAAGCTCATACTATGTACTGACTACCTATGTAGGAGATGGCCAATCATTCCACGTTGGTGTTCGCCCTCGGTCTCCGCATTAATCAGGCTGATGTTCTCTTGAAATCACATACCTTACTGATGTTGGCAGTTAGCTGATAGAGAGAAATATCCAATGGCCCTGGGGCCAAGGATGTCGTCGTCATTCCTCTTCAGGCTTAGCTCTTCAGGAGCTAAAAGCTCCCATGAAAGTTATGAGTGGGTTGCTGACACAAGGCAGTACTTCAAGGTACCTGAAGCTGTTTTATATCATAACATATCTACCTCTCATTGGATGTGCAATTGAGCTTCAAGAAGCCAACTCCATTTCAGCGTTCAGCAGTATCTATGAATAGTCTATCGCTTCGAACCGAGCATTCCGCTTCTCAGCTGCATCTCACACCGCCCCTGCTCCTGGTATGTGAACCAGTCGCTATTCAATATTGCCCGACAATTGAGTTCGACGGTGCGCCGGCCCACGCGCGGTCCGTTAATGGAGTCCCGTCTTTTCCCTAGACTGAACGCTGAAGGTTGGGCAGATGACTGGAACCAACCATATCGGTAGGAGTCAGGAGAAACAGGCGCATCTGGAAGATTAAAGACGTCATCGCCTCAGTTGTTGGTTCTAAAATAAGGGACTATTAATATTTGGCTCGTCACAGTCGGCCAATGACTTCCCGACTTTAGCTTGATTCGTTCTGTGAGCTAGTCACGGCGGATAGAATATCACTCTCAGCGAAGAGTCCCTGGCATCTCTGCTGACAATTGTGGCGAGGTCGGAAATGTTTTTTTTTCTCTTCATGGAGAAGCATGAGCACCTGCAGCTTTGACATACATGAAGTGGTATCATGTCTAGCGTATCGTAGCCCGGGTACTGCTAGTACTTGCAGCATCTGCCGACCTAGGCGAATCCATCGTGAGAGGACCCTGGCGATCCCACCTTGACCACCCGAGATACCCAAAGACCAGCGACTTTCAACCCTCTTGACCTCACTAACAGACCACCACCTGAGCTGGATGGGGGGGGGTGTTTTATTTCCAGAACTAAAGAGCTCAGCTCGTCAGCAAGCGCGCGGGTCAATTTGGCTAACTTAGAACATCTGGAGCTGGAGGCGGCTCTGCCTGAGCGTAAGATTATGCTCGTCCTCTCAATTACTCCACCAAAAGCGCGGCCATCACCAACTGACACATTTCGTTTGGCGCTTCAAGTCCACTGGACCGGACCAAGTGGTCTGTGCCTTTTTGACACGCTTTTTGTTACGGATTTAAGCCAGCATGGAGACTGCCTTATGCTGTGCCCGTGTGAATAGAATCCCCCTAGAAGGAGGTTCAGGTCACCTAGTCGTTAGCAGATCTCCCGTTATCGGGCCGGCACAGGTCTTCACGAATCGAAGTCCATATATACGGTGAACTGGACCATCGCTAGACTGAACACAGGTGTGAAGACTGTAGTTGTGGAAACTATGGCGTCGGAGAGCAACTCTGGGCATGGCTTCAGTGGGAGCTATGAACTCGGAGGGCCTCCGGTGCTGGCCATGTGAGGAAGATTTGACGATTCATGATACGATGGATAGTAACCTTTGCCTTTTCCTCAGTCTTGGGTGTCACCGGTTATTTGTTCGGGCAGGCATGGATGGTGCAAGCCAGCCAGCCAGCCTTCTGGCTCTATCTGCATTTCAAGCAAGTAAAAACTGGGGTCAGGCTGAATCCTGTACTCCAGACCGACAGAAACGAACAAGGTCAAACGTTGTTCGGGATTAACACAACAGGCAAGATCAGGGCATGCACGGACTATGATTTTTAATGCGCCGACCACGGTTTGCATCCCTGAGCTGGGCTGGGCTAAGCTGGGCTGGCTCGCGTTTGGTCTGATATTCGCAAAGCTTTTGGTGTGGAGAGTTCATGATACTCCATGACTAGCATTCAGGAGGCGAGATCCTAGAATGTGCCTGCCTCATATTGGAAAGCACATGTCTAAGTATGGCCGAACCTTGCGTTAGTGGACGTGGACGGCGCTTCCTTTCGTCCAGTCCTACTGATTACGACCGGAGCAAATAGTCCAATTTCAACCGACAGACCTCTGATGAGATGGGTCAAGCATTTAGACGTCTTCTCGAAGTGTGGCTTCAGAGACCGGCCCGACGCAGTTTAATTACACCACTACTGTACTGTACATTACAGTACAGCATAGCTTCTATTGAATGAGGCTATTTGTTTCATCTATCCTTCTTGGTCAAGTATGAGGCTTCTTTCCGGAGCATGCTGTCATTACCCCATGAGTCAAAAGCATAACAATACAAGATTGGCTATCCTAAAAGAAACTCAAAGGGAGAGTCAAAAACGTGGTGCCTCGGGGGTTAGCCGAAAACCGAGATCTAGGCTTTTGGACTTGCGTAGATACGAGTGTATGCTATCTTGTTGGTGTCTTTCCCATACAATACCCTTACCCCAGACTCACTCACCTGCTGGGCTGGGGGGGGGTGACTGACTGTGGACTGTGGGCGGATGCCAGTCAAGCAAGTGGGGGAGCGGTGTGTCGACCCTCTACTCTGTGTGGATGGCCTCTAGTCTTCATCACAAGACGACACCATAATCAAGATTGGCAACGTGGACTGCAAAGGAAAAATACCACCCTACCATCGGCAGCGCAGCGCTATCCCACTCAACTACATCATCGCAAAAATTTCTGGTCTGATTATTTACGTTTGATAATATCGACATTGGCCAAGATCGACTCCCTTACGATTCAATGTCTCCCATTCAAGACTTATCAAACGCTTGGCATGCTTACTGTGCCTCCCGGAGTTCGGCTTCTTGACTCGCTCGGCAATTGGTCACCAGCACAATACATGCAATCTCATGAATAACAAAAATTGTCGACCCAAGCCAATCGACTGGCTCAATCTCAAGCAGCATCTCAACTTGACAGTTGCGGTCTGCAGGTGATTCGCTACGTGCCAGTCGATTCAAGTCCCTGCTATCCGTACTATCGCGGACTATCGCGGTCTCGTGCGTCGTCACGGGACGATCATCAGGCTAAGCTATCAAGATTCGGCAACCCGTAGCCTGGATCAACAGACTGATTGGACATGCTCCCAGAAGCCTCCCTTGCTATGTCTGTTATGCCGTGATGAAGCGAACGTCGTCCCCTGGTGTGGCTGCACAAGCGTGCGTGTCCTCAACTCTGCTTGTCCTTGCCTTTTCGATCCTGGGGTCCTGGAGGCTGTTGATCAACATGGATGAGGCCCTAGGTACAGTCACTACGTGCATACATATATATGTACGTACTAAGTTAGCGTGCGTTTGTTATTCTGCAGCACCAAATGTGATTCATGCAGGGTACGACTCGAGAACTTTGATAATGCGGGAAAATAATGAAATATACACGCAGAAATGTGCTCACCAGCGTCGTGTTCATTCACACTCATGATATCACAGACCCTCTATCTCGCAGCATTCTCTGCGGCAAAGCGAGTAAACACGTCTGCCTCATGCATCTCGGCAAACCTTGTCTACCTACACAAAGTCCTACACAAAGTCCTCTTCCCAATGGCCCATTGCTACATCTGTCTGTCTCAAAGTCATTAAGTGTCTCATATTAAGGTTGGCTGGGAACAAGAGTCTCTGGGACAGTTGCTGATTCAAAGTGATAATACTATTACATAGGATACCTAATCTAAATCTCATTATTGGACCAGATCTATTATAATCCAAGGTCTTTTAAGATCAGACTCGATGATGAAATTATATCTGAACTGCCTCTTTCCCTGCCTTATCGGGGCTAGCTAGCGGGCTGGTAGAATAGGACCGAATCCTTCTATTTGGCGAATACAATAAGATCATATGCTAGAGGCTGTACACTTGTCTTGTTGTATCTTCGAGGAGCTTTGTGCAAAGTCCTCCGAATCGCAACTACATACAAATCTAGGTAGTCAAATCGGTCATGTAACTATCTTGACAGATGCCTCTCCGTCTCAGCCATGGCCCAATATACAGAATAGCAAACATCGTATAAAGGTAGGCATCTGTTGTGAGCCTGCAACATAGATTTACCAATTCACTTGCATCTTGGAAAAGTCTCGGTTTCTCGCCCTTTACCCTGGGACTCATGGTCGGCCGCTGGTCGTCCAAAGCTCATTCGTCTTCCCTCCAAACGAAACGTAGACCTGAAGCTGCTTCCGCTGGCGGGCGTCGTCGACTTGTTTCTACTTGGGGTCTGTGCCCCCTCACGCATTGCTTTACGTAGCTTACGTGTCTCTACTGTTAATCCCTGGGGTTTCTTGTCTCGATATGCAGCAGCTGGAATCTTTTCAACCCGCGCGGTTGCCTCAGTAGTGGTTTGTGTCTGTCTGGGAGGTCGATCGAGTGCGATGTTTAGCTGAGACTCAGAAGGAAGAGGCGGCACAGGCGGCGTAGGTGATGAGAATAGCGGTTCCGGGGCATCTTCGAGGAACTGCTTCCATTGTATAAGACTCTCTTTACTCGTCCTATTATCGGTAGCGACGTTGTTTTGAACAGAGTCCCCATTAGCCGCACTTTCGAGGGAGTCCTTACGACTATATCTCTTTGGCGATTGTCTATTCTGAAACTCACGCTCGACCTTGTCCCGGAAGTATGCCGCTCGTTTTTCTTTCTCTCTCTTCCCTTCGCCATTACCCGAGACCCATGGCGACGCGCAAGGTGGTTCGGGTTCGCAGTTAACAAACGGGGACCATGCCAAGGTGGGCTCAGCCGGCGTTCGGGGAGTTGCTGGGGGATTGTAGTCCGAACGTATACGCTTTCGAAAGATACTGCTGATGCTGGAGGATGGTGTTCGTGGAACGACAGTGGTTTGTGATGCGGTGGGTGATGGGGTTCTTCGCTCGGGAACGTCTGCCTCGCTTCCGGGAGGCATCAAGGACGAGGTTCGAGTTGACTGATCGAGCTGCTGGTTTGATGGACGGTAAGTGCTGCTGGGAGTAAGTCTCGCTCGCGATGCCGGCTTTTGGAGCTTCTGAGGCTGCGAGAAGTCTCGCGTAATGGCCAATGTTGAACGCTCAACATCTCCGTCATCCATGGTCGCACTTGGCTGAAACAAAGTCTTTCGCCAGTTTACCCCAGAAGAAGCCTCCCCATGCGTCTCAATTCGTCCGTCGTTTCGCGGCATGGTTCTGGACTTTCGGGGTGTAGTTGCCAAAGCCCTCATCCATTCTTTTGGAGCAAAAGCGCGTTCATGCCTCCCAGAGTCCGGCAAATCGGGCAAGCGTCTTGCTTTGGGGATCTTCTCTGTTATGCGTGTACTCATTTCAATTCCATCAGAATCTTGAGGAGGGCATTTAAGACGTTCCTGAGTGCTCTGGAGGTTGAGCATTATGCCAGACCCGGGAAATGTATCCTTCGAAATGCTTTCCCTACGATGCTCCGGGGTGAAACCTGATTGCGCCATGGCTTCCAGGTTGAAGGATGCTTTGTGTTCGAGCCTTTTCATAGACTGTGTTGGGGTGACAATTGTGGAAGCCGAACGTTGAAGGCCTCTTGGCGCAGGTGTTGCCTGTAGGAGGCCTTGCTCTTGTTGTCCTAGCCCACGAGGCGTACGATCTCCTTCTGTCAGAGCATCATCTTCATCTCCGAAGCGATCGAAGGGATCGTTTCGCTCAGGTGGGGCGCTGATCCTAAGCATCTCAAGTGTGGTAGGCGGATCAGCATACCCCCTATCAAACAATCTTGGGCATCTACGGTCAGATTCATCAGTGGTAGCCCTATGTTTCCGGCGGTTGATATGCAAGGGACTTGGTTGGAGTTCAGAGATGATTGATTCTGTGTCGGCCTCCCATAGGTCCGCAGAAAGCCCTTGGTGATACTTATCACCAGGACTTGGGATTAATCTTGCTTGTCGGGTATCTTCAAAGAGGATTTTACCGCCAGAGTCACCAACAACACGTTTTGTAAGTGTTCCTGGAGTCAGTCGATGAGTTGGCTGAACTGCGATAGGGAAACGAGCAAGGGGACTCTGTGTATCTGTTGTTGCCAGCGGCTGGGGAGTGCAGCCAACAGTCTTGCCTCTAGGCCTTGGGGTGGCAAAATCAAAAACAGACATTTCGTCTTTACATATACGGGATAACTGCCTCGAAAGCCTGAAGCTACCAGTGTTGTTGTACACTTGTCTATCAGCTTGATCTGGGTGGCCTATCAGATCATTCTCCCTGACACTCTCACACGTAAAAGGGGTGCCCGCGTCGGGCAAACATGGTGTTCGCTGATCTTGAAGGGTAATTGCATCGTCGAAGTATGCGAAGTGAGCCGCAGTCCCCGTGCCCTTCTTGGTCTTGTCTAAGTCCTCAGTCGAATCATTGTCTCCAGAAGGTCCAATTGGTGTGCCGGCACTTGCTATCTTGTCGTTCTCGTCTGGTTCATATTCACTCATAGGCCGCCAATCTTCGACCTCGCCCCCGGCTGGCACTAGTTTTGTCAGTAGTTATTATAAACGACTTTGGAGAGAAAAACAGATGACGTACCTCTACGTGGCACAACCATATCCTTATCTCCAGGTTCAGCGCCTTCACCGCCATCCCCGGCTTCTTTGTCCAACTCTGAGGCCTTTCTGGCCTGAGCATTACTTATGTTGAAACGCAAGGTATCCATGAATGAGGGTAGAATGATCGGCTCGCCACCTAAGTGAAGTGATAGACGCATGGGCCCATTGGCGTAAGTTTCTGGCCTTACAGTTGATACTGATTCCCCATCAGAATCAGCAGCATATCCATCTGCGGCAGTGCTTTCTACATTGAATCCAAAAGCCATAGGCTCCAAATCACGCCGGATTCCTTTTGGTATTTGTGGTATTACCAGAAATTGCTTGTAGTGGTTCGTCCAGAACCAGTGTTTGTAGGGGGGTGGGAGTTCACATGGTCGATCTTCGCAGTCGGATAAGTGCTTCTCCATCAGGTACATTCGACAGTACTCCATAGGTGATAGACGTGGTTTCGTAAGTTGGCAACTCAATCCAATACTTCTACCCCTTCTGTGAAAAGGCCGGAGGGTACTTCCTCCCATGGTGATCTGTCTCGGGGGTGATTTGGGACTCTGTAATGGGCTCGAAAATATATTAGGGGCCTCATAGCTGTTGGTTTCAAAGCCCAGACTCCCCGGAAATAGGCCTATGATAGATATTGGCTCTGAGATGTTTGCTTTGAGCGACGGCCAGCGCTTTCTATCACTTGACTTGCGTGTAGTAGAAGTGCCCACATGCTGGTCCAGTGCCTGGGACGGCACAACACTTTGGTCTGTCCTTTCGGATTTATCAGACTGATAGCGCATTCTCTTTTTGATCTTGTCCAAAACGCTGGGTGTGAGATGTGCTTTGAGTCTCTCGGGAATGTGTGGTAAGGGGGGCACAGGTGGCATGTCGCTACCCTCATCGTCGCTGTCGGGATCGTACTAGAAATCTCGACTGTCAATTTCTCGGGGTAAAATAAGACCCAAAGCTGCTTGTTCGACCGGCGACATGTCGAGCTTTCGGGTGAATGGGTGCTGAAAAAACTCTGTTTTGGAGAGATTATCAGGATAGGACAGGACGGGTGGTGCGCTGAGATCTTGAGAAAAAAGAGCACCGTCCGTTTTAGCTGGACTCATTTCTCTTCCAGGCATTCCTTTTAGTAGAGGATGCGAAGTCGATAGAACCCATGGGCTTAAGGGTGTTGTTGGCGCAGAGTCCTGGTTGTCGTTTGAAGTCGCAGTTGTGAAAATAGCGCTCGCGCCCTGGGTTGCATTTGCTGAACACCCAGAGCTTCGTGAATTGTCTGTATCAAACAACGAGAACAAGTTTGGAGATGCTACATGATACGATCCGGTGCTGAATGACTTTCGTTCAAGATTGTTCATGATCGCTAAGCACACACCTTCTATCTTCTTGAACTCTTCACAATATCTCACCATAGCATCTCTGGCTTGAGGATACCCTGGGACCTCACACCAGCCAGACAGCTTCATTTTAATGACTTCTTGCTGCTGAGGGGAGAAGGGGTGATCGGACATCAGGTGCTCAAAGACAGAAAACCGAACACTGTCGCGAAGACCCGGTGAGTGTGGGGTTGGATCGACATCATCTTCGTCTTCGAGAAACACATCTGAAGGCACAAGAGCATTGAACATTCCCATAATTTGAGGGATCTCCTTCCTGCACTCGGAGTCTCTCGTCAATTCTTCAATAAGGATCTAAGGGGGTAGTCAGTTCACAAAAGCGCATTGGGGGAGCAGTATGTATCTTACACAGGCTCTGAAACCGGCGTGTAGAAGCCGAAAGTTTGCGGTAGAAGTTCTATCAAGCTCTTGGAGCATTTGGAGTTGACTTTCTGTCGGTGAGATGGTCTCCATGGCAGCATGGGTGGCTTCAAGGAGGCGAAGGCGACGAATTTCGATGGCATCGAGGTAGCCAAGGCCATCCATGGCGCGTTCAAAGTCAATACCTCCATCAGGGGGCTTCCGGAAGATATTGGAAGCTATGTACTTGGAATTCTTGCGACTATTCGCGTCATAGTCAACTCCTCTTGCTGCACGGATCGCTGGCCAGGTTGTTTGAAGGGAGGCTTGAATGGTTTGGTCGTTATCGAATGCCAAAAGCCTCGTTTGCATCTGCTGCGCAAAGCCACACTGTCGAGAGTTGAGATCATCTGATTCATCGTTGACCAGTTGTTTAAGGGCTTCGTAGCCTATCCCTAACCACCAGGTTTCGAGTTCAGCAGCATATGGCGGCATCGCTTCGTGATATTCTGCCGAAGTATGTGCTCAGAGTGCGGAGGAGAAAGTTTATACAGCGCGATCGCCCATGATGCACTTTTCAGAGACGAAGAGGATTAAAATAGTGGAAGGAATAGATCTGTGAATGGAGAAGAAGATATTGCGAGAGTGAAAGGCCGCTGAATATTGATCGCGGCAGTGAATAAAGGTGGAAAGGGCGCGAAAGGGAAAAAAAAGTCTGCAGGTCGGGACTGATCCAAAGTAGCCGCTGTATTCTGGCTGGCTATTAAAAGAGCCGTTTGCGCGAGGTGCTTCTTGTTGTTTTTGTTTTTGTATAGGTCGGTACGTTTGTTCATGATGAATGTGGCCAGAATCGTTTGTGGTCGCGTCACTGTTCACACCTTCCTTCCATGCGGCTGTTTGAAAGCATTGCAGACTAATCACGTGGCCTAATAGTACATTTGACTGCCATTAATTGATAGCGATTCGAATCATTGGCGATATTCGTTACTGGCGTGAAGCTGAAGTTGTTAGTTAACCCCGTATCTCATGAGGTCATTTCAGAGTGAGTGGGAAAGATCCATTCGGTGACATGCATCTAAAACCCCCTGTCCTGCTGAGTCTCAACTCAATTGACGAGGCCTCCTGCACTCCCCGCTAAAATTACAGTGGTTTTTGCACTAGCGCGAGAAATAGCGGGCACCCTCTGTGGAATTACAGGGGGAGCTTCTGCAGCTGTCGCCGAGGATCTGGTCAAGTCTCGCTGCCAAGGCCAATGGCAGCCAGTTTCAGGACAGCTAAGTGTCACTGGTGGCCCCGAATCTGCTCTGACGCAGCACACCCAGGAACCTGAGCTAACTTTGTTTTTTAGATCCTTGCAAGCTTGAATTGGACTGACTGTCTGTTCCTTTGGTGCCACGAAGCCACTGGTCGTCCTACTCCGTTCCTTTTCTTCTCTCCTTTGTTCTACTGGCGTTGGTGTAACTCTTGATAGCCTCAACCGGCACGTCAGTTAACTCGTGGAACTGCTTCCGTCTTTCTCTATTTCACTGAAAATCAATTAATTATGATTTTGAGGCATTCAGGGCGCCTGGTGCGTCGCCTCAACCAACCTGTCAGCTCCTTGAACTTGGCACGACCAGTTGGATCGCAGATTCGGTATCCAGGGCCGAGATGCACAAATTGCAATGTTGTTGTCAGCAAGCTTCGATTCTCATCACAAGCTCGCAAAAGAAAAGGTATTGATTGATATTTAACTCTTGTCTTTTGTCACACAATCCCATCAAGGGGCGACTCTTCGCAGCAAAACTTGGGTAACCCAGGGTTTCCAGTATTTGCATTTCTGTTTCCAGAAACGGCACTCTCAGTCAGCATCTTATCGAGACTGGCTTTGGGCTTTTTGATCTGCAAGTAGGGATCAAGCTGAAAAGCGGGAATCGCTGCGTGCCAAATGAATATGTTGCAGGAAGCCCAGAAATCGACATAGAATTGAATTATTACTAACTATTCAAAGCAGAAGAAGCAACCGAGTATAATGCAGAGGCAGAAGCAGAGACTCAGAAAGGACCCAGGTCCTCCTCGTCCTCAGAATCTTCACTTCTAGGCAAGATGGGAGAGGCCGCGGCCACGACCTTTGCGTCCATAGTGGTGTTGGGTCTGGGTTTTGCTGCTGCGGGCTATATTTATCACAAGTTCTACAAGATGCTTGTCCTCCAAAAAATGAACCATGCTTTTGAGCCAGGCGATCCCGTCCTGGATTTGGCCGCAATTGGTAAAGATGTTCCTCATCAGCCAGGTGGCTCTGGCGAACATTGGATATACCGCCCAGAGCAGCAGCGTGTTGATGACATCGTCATGGGGCGCGTTGTTGGGCATTATTACCTTTTGATCGGCGATAAGGGGTCCGGTAAGAGCAGCATGCTTATTGATGCTATGCGAAAGAATGAGGGTGATGGTGTTGCCATGTTCGAAGCGCATGCAGACTTGGAGATCTTCCGTATTCGTCTTGGCAAGGCCCTCGATTATGAGTTTCACGAGGATTACATCGGAGGGTACTTCAGCGAGAGGGGTCCCCGCGAAACCACAGCTCTTCTGGACATTGAACGTGCTCTCAACAAATTGGAGAAAGTGGCCATGCAGAAGCGAAGAGAAAGGGGCAAGCCTTTGGTGGTGATTGTCAACCAGATGCACCTCCTTCGCCATGATGACGATGGTCGAGATGTCATTGAACTACTGCAGCAACGGGCTGAACAGTGGGCTGCAGCCAATATTGTCACTATGGTTTTCAACTCTGATGACTACTGGGTGTATGAGCGCCTCAAGCAGCTTGCTACCAGAATGGAGGTTCTCCCTGTCACTGATCTACCTAAACAACAAGCTATTTCGGCTCTCCAGCGATATCGTCAGAAGTACTGGAAAGAAAGCATTGACGCCCAGGTTCTCGAAGAAGTCTATGAGAGGGTCGGAGGGCGGCTGAGCTTTCTCAATCGCGTAGCAAAGAGCAGGGATATGATGGGAACTTGCGAAACGATCAAGGAAATTGAAAAGAAGTGGTTCCTCAACCAGTGTTGGATTCTCGGTCCAGAGATGGATGACGATGTCATGGATCAACAGAAGTGGGCTGTAAGTTTGAAGAAATACTACGTTGCATTTGCAGAGACAAGTTACTGACCGAATCACAGGCTGCCGCTATGTGTTTGGCCAAGGCATTGGTTGATAAGGAACATGATATGGAAGAGCATGAGAGCTACGACCCTGTCGTTGGACATGTGCTTCCGACCTACCCTTTCCACATCGCTCAGCAAATCATGACCCGCTGTGATTTTATCCGAGATCTCGATCGATTGAACCTCTTCAGCATTACCAGCGAGGCAGATGTTCGAGCGAGCAGCGTTCCAATGCATCGGGCCTTCAGAGAAATTTGTGCTGAGCCTAACTTTGAGAAGCACCTGGAAGGCACGATACAAAGAATCGCTGATATCGAGAGTTTGGGACGTACTCGCGAGCTTGTTGCCAAAGACTTGGTTCTTGGTGGACAGTATGAGATCGAGCATAATCGCAAGGGTATTACAGTGAAGCTGAAGGAGGCTGAGAAGGAAGATGACTGAGGCAATTACGTGCATTTTTGGATCGCTCCCATGGAGATCAATGGGAATTATGACGCCCTATCGTTGTTATTGGTTTCTCTGGTCGTATACGCCTGAATGAGGTATGACTGGAATAATGTTGAAGGACAGGCGCAGGTGGTGGATGTTTTTGGGTCTGATGAAGCGACCTGTACAATAACTGACTGACTTGCATATATTTCCTTGGCACGTGTCGAAATAACTCTGTACAAACCTGTACTATTTTTTTAGAGTAGTGTAATAAACAACCACAGCATGTATTTGACTCTCAATGCTTCGAGTGTAGCTTAACATCATGACTAGGTGACTCTCGGGGAGTAAGAAAGCTTAGTACTTAAGAAGAGGATACTAAAATAAACTCGATATAAAATCTCCTAGGCTTATATTACATTGTATTATTGCTTAAGTAGGGTCAAGGCCTTGAGTTTTCTTGCCTCTCCTAACTGCTCTCTTGACTCTCAGCTTCGTGCACATGAAAGGGGTGGGTGTGGGGTTCACGTGATCAATGTCACGACAACGCGAAGGGAGGGAGCAACCATCTCTAGGTTAACCACGCCGTCAGTTTTTTCGTGACGCCCCACACCTTCTTCCAATTTCCCCTTACCCTACATCCTCAACTCGCGTTCTGTCGACGAGAAAGAAGCTATCGTCGCGAAGCAGTTCACCGATGTCAGGCAACGGCAACGGTAGTAGCAAGTGGCCTGACTTCCGCCTCGCGTCGACCCTATGGTCTCTAATGCCCGGCTCCCAGTCCAACAGGCCAGATAAGCAAAACGACGAAGACCGCGACGGCAACCAAGGCCACAAGAACGAGCAGCAGCTCAAGAACGAACCCCAAGAAGAGCTTCCAGAAGAGCTAATGCAGTCACTCGAGTTGACCCAAGACGAAGTTGGCACCGAGAGCCGGCCAATTGACGAGATGAGCGGTTTCGACAACTACGATGGCGATGCTCAGGATGGTCCAGAAGACGACGTTCAGGACCAAGACTTTGGCACGCTCGAAATGTTCGACAGCAACGCAACACAAGCCCCCTACACCTCGCAACTCGACAACGCGTCCCAGGAAGACCAGGCATCTGAGGCGCCCATGTCGGAAGACATACCGTCCTCTCAATCCCGAAAGCACAAGCGCGACAAGAAGGGGCGCAAACAGAAGGGCATAAATGAGAGTGAATCTCCACAACTGCCAGCTGCCGAAGAATCCTCGCGCAAGTCCAAAAAGTCCAAGAAAAAGTCAATTGTACCGGTCGAAATCCCCGATAGCATGGTCGAAAACAACACAGCAACCATATTCCCATCTCAACCTCTGGACAACTTGGCTGCTGACCTTGATGATGAGATGGCTGCTCCTGCTACTCAACCCAAGCGCAAGCGCAACCTCTCGGATTCTATTGACGGCAAGCAACGCAAGAAGCGAAGATCCCGTGACGAGGCAGCCGACATCGAATCACAGCTGGCAGAACCAGGAACACAGGATGGCCAAATTGAGGAAGCAGACACCAAAGAATCTCAAGCTGCCTCTTTCCTCCGCACCAGAGACGCAGCTCGCCCAGCTGCCATTTACGATGACGTCGCAGAGGATGCACCCCAATCTCCCAGTGCTGCACGCCTCGAGGTGCGTGATGATGCTCGATCAAGAGAAGGTAGTACCGCTCATGACGAGATGGACATTGATGCATCAGCGAAGCAGACCCAGGATCAGGAGAATGAGGTGTCTGGCTTTTCTGCAATCAATGGGCAAGAGAACACAGAACACCAGGAGCTTGAGCAAGTGGCCAGGGACGTGTGGAATGCGCACATCAACGGCCAAACCCAACCCAACACACAAGACTCATCTGTGCACCCTGAGGAGATGGAAGTTCCAACATCTGCACAGCGTCCCCATACAAGCAATGATGTGTACGATGTTCCCGGAAGCCCAGTTCAGGCCTCAAACCCCCCTAGTGCCAGCGCCAAGCGAACACGATCGGGCAAGGCTAAGAAGGCAAAGCCTACGTTCTTTGAGAAATCGCCTTCCCCCGAGGTTCCCGAGGGTGACCTCCCATCACCTTCTGCCATGACACCGATGCCACGAAAGCGCACCAAGAAGGCTTCAAATCGTAGAAAGTCCGAAGCCAACCGTGCACTCTCGTCTCAAGACATGGAGGTTAGAGATGACGACGACCTTTATGGCAATCCAGCAACCGGACGACGAAACCGAATGGCTGGCTTCACCCAGGGACGATTCACCGATGAGGAACTTGGTCGTATCGCACAGGCAGTCGAGGGTTACCGTGTCGAGCGCAACATGGAGCAACATGAACTGAATGCTATGATCCATGCTCCTGGAGGTACAACCGCTGGTGATGAGCATGCCGCCCTTTGGGCACGCATCTTTGCAACATGCCCAGACCGACACAGACAGAAAATCATCAATATCACCCGAAAGAAGTTCCACAACTTCGTTGCTCGTGGTACTTGGACGAGTGAGCAAGATGCCGAGCTCCGTGACCTGATTGAGGCCAACGGAACAAAGTGGTCCAAAATTGCTGGTATCATCAACCGTCACCCAGAAGATCTTCGGGATCGTTATCGAAACTACATCATCTGCGGAGACTCCCAGCGGAAAGACACCTGGGACGAAGAGGAAGAGGGTAATCTGACGCAGTATGTAATGGAGGCCATGGCCGCCATTGACGAGTTACGAATCATCCAACCCACCCGCGAACTGCTCAAGAAGCCGTACGAGGAACTCATCGATTGGCAAAACATCAGTGAGCGTATGGGGAGAACTCGCAGTCGACTTCAGTGTATCACCAAATGGAGAGCCATGAACATCAAGACTCACGGCAAGGATAAGTTGGTGTCACATGCGCCCGATGCATCTATTTCTTTCCGCCTTGAGAAGGCCCGTCGTCAAATTGCCGCGATGCCGGAGGAAGAACGATATCGTATGATCATGGCCATCTCAGGCTCATCCGCATCGATTGAGGCCAAGATTCCTTGGCAGAGACTGGTTGACAAGCAGTTCCGCAACAGCTGGCATCGACCAACGCAGATGCTTCTTTGGCGACGCCTGAAGCAAAGTGTACCGGAGTCAGAACAGAAGACTGTACGAGACTCTGCACAATACCTGCTTAATTTGTACGCCCAGACTGGCGAGCTTCCTAATGTCGACGATGCTCTTTTCGACGATGCGGAGGAAATGGAGTTTGTGAATAGTATCCCAACCACCCACGTTTCTCACAACAACGCTTCTGCCAATGGTCAGAACCACATGAGCGCCGAATTTGTTAACGAGGCCGATGAGGAGGAAACCGAACAACCGCAGGGTGAATACGTCGTTCCTGATGAGAACATCAACCCTGATCTGCCTATCGCACCAATGGAAGACTTTGACACAGCCCCGATGGCATCAATGGATCCCGTTGCTGCGGTTGCAAACCTGGCTCCCATGGAGGATACTGAAATGGTTGACCCAGCTCTTTCTGCAGATCATGCAGAGCCTGAACAGCCTGAACAGCCTGAACAGCCCGTCGGTGCACCAATGAAAGAGGAGCCTGTGCCTGTCGCTAAGCCCGCCAGCACTCCTGTGTTTGATGAGCCAGCTCCCCCCAAGGCAACCCGCGTTGCAAAGAGAACAGGTATGGGCAAGGCGAAGGCACCTAAGCCCCCTCGCAAGTCAGCTGCCAGATCTACTCCGGCTAGAGCCACACCCAGTCGTCGATCTGCTAGACGTGCGGCCCCTTCTCAGGACCCAATTGAGGATGATGTGGAGGTTCAGGCCGGGGCTCCCGCAGAGGACAACTCTGAGGTTGACGAGGCTCAGACGCGCAAGCGAAAGACGCCTAGCAGATTCCGATCCGCTGGCGTGCCTGAGGTATCGGCTGCCGCCGACGATTCAGACAGCGTTATGGACGATATGGAAGATTTGCCAGCGCGCGTTATGTAAGAGAGAAAAGGAACATGAGGGCCACAATGTGGCAGATTATTGATAGAGTTTTGGGAGGGATCCGGCGTATTAGTACAAGTTACCACCAAGATGGCCTCGACAGTAGAAACAGCGGGTGTTGTAGTAATACTTCAGTGGCTAATGGAAGGAGTATGTCAAGGGGAGAAACATGGACAATACCGTGGATAACATGAATTATAGAAGGACTACTAGTCGCAATTTCTCACCATTATCTTAATAATGCAGGTCATTTTATAAAAGGTGGCATTAAAGAACCCGAATCAATGCAAATTCTGGTATCTATCATCTCTCATCCGTCTACTTTAGCCAGTTGCTCAGGCGCAATTTATAATGCCAGCAAATCCATCGCACCAGTGCAGCCATCGTTGGGCGCGGACCATGATAACAAACAAGTGTCTTTTACTCCAAACTCCACCGAAATGCTTTTTCTTGTGCCAGTGACCCAAGCACTCCGAGTCCGTCATGAATACCGAGTCCCAAAATAGAAAAGTAGAAGGAAAAGGAAAATAATGCCTGCCGTGCAGTTATCGAGTTCACAACATGACAAATCGCAAGACAAGTTAAGTATAGTACCGTTCGTGGTGGTTCGGAGATTCCTTAGCGGATCTCAGGCTCCCGCATGAATTCAGGGATGGCGAGACCTCCCTCACCAGATTCAAAGTTGGGAGTTCCAAAGTTGCTGAGGCGCGAACGAGTAGAACTGGGGTTGATATGGCTAGTGGCTGTATCCATGAGGTCGAGGACATGTTCGACAGGGTTACCATCGCGACCGGGGCCAAGGGCGGAGTCGTTGTCGAAAGAATAGATCTTGATACCGCGAAGATGGGTATCCTTGCCGTTCTGGTGGTTCTCGAGGATCTGCATCTGAACGACCCAAGCGACTAGGGTGTTGCCGTCAGGGCCACCGCCGGCGCCGGCGATGGGAACCTGCTGCCAGCCGGAGGGGTTCTCAAGAGCTACGGTAGCAAACTCGATGAGATTGTTCTCGCTGGTGCCGGCCTTGAAGACGATCTTGGTAGGGGTGTAGGACTCGTCCTCGTTGTAGTCAACGTAGAAGCGAATGTCGCGGATACCAACACGCTTGGTGAAATACATGGTGAGCTTGTGAGGCTGAGGGCCATCGGATCTGAGAAGTGTTAGTCGGGTGAATAGTGTATGAGAGATGTGTGATGAACTCACTGCCAGAAGAGCTTGAGATCATCGCTCTTTAGCTCCTCAACACCATTGCCAGGCTTGTGGCTGCTAACAGTGAAACGGGCAAGGTTGGAAATCTCCTTTAGGCCAGCAGTAGCAGGGTCGAAAAGGGTAGCAGCTTCATGGGCTTGGTCGTGTTCAGCGGCTTCTTCTTCTTCTTCTTCTTCTTCATCCTCGTCTTCGTCTTCGTCGACATCATCATCTTCTTCCTCGCCGATTGAGTTCTCATCCTCATACTCTTCATGGGAGTGAGAAAGAGTGCGCTGATCAGCATCGTCCTCAGCAGCTTGGCCGTCATTATAAGCCATTGTGGCATCAGAAGAAGGGCCAACGGGAGCAGCCATTGGGCGAGCGCGGTTGAAGAGAATACTCTCGTCAGGCTCAGCATCGGAGCTAGAGGCGTCGGAATCGCGGGGAGGCATGCTTAGACGAGATCGGTCTGTAGGCTGCTGGGCAGCTAGGAAAATGTTGTTAATACTTGTTCGCAATCGTCGTGATTGGCGGAGAAGTCGCATGCGCTCTTGATACCACTCCTCAAAGGTGACACTGAGATGATCAATGGCTCGGTAGCAGGCTTCCACGTTCTCCTTGTCCGGAGAAGGAACGGTTCGGAAGACTCGCTTGCGCTGCTGGAGAAGAGCGCCACTAGACTTCTTGAAGGCGAGATCTTGGAGTGGAACTCGCTTGATGCGATGATCACGGTTGATCCGATGGGTTGGGGCTGGAGGAGGAGGGATGTAGATCTCGCGGCGCGAAGGCATGTTCAGGGATGAGATGGTTTGATCGGATAAAGGGGGAACAAGTTCAGTGATGAGGGAGTGATCAAGCTAAGAACAGCAGATGAAGGGGTCAGAAGAAAGGAAAGATGATGATAGAAGGTAAAGGTTGATAATACAGTTGTTGGAAGAATGTGCAATTGGGATAGTGGGAGAGGTGACGATGCGTTGAGGGAGTATCAAGTGTATATTTGAAGAAGAAGAAGAAGAGAAGGTACAAGAGCAGAAGAGAGATAGATAGTAGATAGATGACTGCATCAGTCTAGTTCCTATCGAGTCATCAAACAATAAGAAAAAAAGAGACCCATCGAGCAAGTATGAGGGCAATGAATCACTGGTGGCAGCCGTCGAGAAGTGGCAGATGGCCAATGGCAGCCAACTACAGCTGCAAACACTTTAAGATGGCAACCGATATGAGATCATGGCACTGCCAGAAAGATACGCTAAATATGCAAGTTTAATTGAAGAAAATTTCCACTTACTTCTATAAAGACGAAATGGATTAGGAGGAGGCGCTCGACGTCGTCTCTGGTCAGGAGGTTGATCTGGTGTTCGATGAATTGGAGGACCATCAGGCGTAACCATTGAACCAGCAGCAAGAGGAGAAGCGCCTTGACTCGGATGCAATCTAGTAGAAGGGCCGCCTGGAGTAGCAGCTGGAACTTGAGGCACTGGAGATGAGGTTATATCCGACGGTACAGGTCTCGGGCTCGAGGCCCTGTTTGCCTGTGCCCTGGCGTTTGTGTCTGGGTTCGCATGAGTGGCAGCTACATGCCGTGTTCTTCTTGAGCCACGAGTGATGTCCATCTTGATTGGCAGTGATTACTTGATCTTTGGAACTCCACTGGCTAACACTGCCAACACTCACTGATAGGTATGGATGGATGGATGGATGGATGGATCCTAGCTCCTCTAAAGTCAATTATAGGCGCGGTCGCGGTTGTAGCTACCTAGGTACTAACTACCTACTAAAGCTGTCGTTGGAAAATGCCCGGGATCTGAGTGGACAATTGGACGCGCTATCACGTGCCCTGTCGGATCTATTTTAGGTGTCTCTCTCTGGCTTCTAGCTCAACCTCAGCTGAAGCTGATCCCTGTCCATCTTGACTCGGCCTTGATTGTTTCAAACATCATCACTTCCAGTCTCTTTCTTCAGTCCCATCGTAAGCAGAACCAATGCTACGAGTCAATGCAATGCAACAACTTTGCAGAAACAATTCCCTCCTGATATATTTTATCAGTTGTTCAAGTGAGCAGCCAATTTCACACTCCAAAGCCTAATCATAACCGAAGTCGCCTCTTATTTAGGTAGCCGACCGAACTTCCTGGTTGCAACTTACAGGGAGGGTCCTCATATTCTAGAATCTACTGTACCTTACCCCGCCAAAACTGCCTATCACTGCAACCCCAGCTTCCAGAAAATCTTGGTCCGAGATCTGACGCATGTCATGTCATTCATTCACCGACAGAATGTCCACTGACACTGACAGCTCTCAACCCAACTACAATGAACTTTTGATCTTGGCCCTTGTGGGCCTATGAATATAGTACCTACCCTCCATCTTCCCCGGTCTTGGGAGTCGTATTGATCGCTGAAAATCATGCTACGCCGCTGACTTACATCAAGCAGGGAGGTTAATCCTGATGACGAATGCGCAACACCATTTGCCATTCCCTATGATCTTCGATCTTGTTACATTGAAACAATACGACAGTTCCTTAATCAATTGAATCTCACGGGTTGCCCGTCCAGTCTCTCTGCAACAACGCCTTGACCATGCCCGTTGTAACCGTTCAACGGCCAGTGTCGTACCTGAAGCTAAGGCAAAGCCCCTGGGTCTGTCTTCATACTCAGAATCTGAGGTTGTACATACGGTGATACCGATATCGCTTTCAGTCTCGCCGTGCCAACTAAGAGTGAGGCATGCAGGACATCGTCTGGCTTGGCTCCTTAGCGCACCCTTTCAACATGAAACATAAGCTCATGGCTCTGCGTGGAGTTGAAATTTCTTCTCGTCGTTGGCTAGAAACGCCTTGAGCATGCACGGTCTACGTACGTGTAGACTAATCCTTCAACTTGAGTCGAGTGGGCCCGCATCGCCAGCCTCATCTACAGCCATCATCCTGGTTCATCGCCCAATGTAGCGCCTCATCTCTCCCGTCGTCTCATTGGCAACGATCCAGATTAACGGTCCAAGCTGTCACCATCGCTGAGATCTTCAGCCGTTCGCGCTACGTCATTCTCGTTTTCACTTAACTACCGGCCTCCCTCGCGCCACGTCGGCTCGCTCCTCTTCAGGGTCCTCCCATGAAACTCGTCCCTTCACTGACTCTCACAAGATCCAAGCTTTTGGGTCTTCCTCTTTGCTTCTGCTCGTCTAACTCAGGGCTTCCATGCTACCCATCTCAACTTGCGCGGCTTCTATTCGTTCTGATGCACGCTGACGCCTCGGCTTTCTTTAGAACTCAACTTACATACCCACCATCAATGCCTTCCTCAAGATGTCATTAGCAAGGATAGCCTCAAGAATCAGGGCCGAGTCGGGGTGACGGGTCACTTGGTGATCCCTTTGAGGACCCTGACTTCAGCCTCACGAGGTGATCATCTTCTTATCATAAATATCGGCTTTCGTCGTCTATTTCTATCAGCTATCAATCTATAATACTATCAATTATCTTAACTACTTATCTCTCAAAGTGAAAGACGAGAGCTCATCCTAGGTTTTCAACTGATTTCATTCGATGTCTCTTGACCCTTTGCCTACTATTGAAACGACCCTCACTTCTTCTTCTCCATCCGACATGTCCTCTTCCATACAGAGCCGATCTGCTCGCAGCACACCCGCTATCAACGCATCCGCCTTTAATCCTCCTGAAGCCAATGGCTCCTCTAATGAAAGAGTTCCCTTCATGCGAGACAACTCTCCTGAAGCCGACAGCCTACCGTCCAACCCAGCTCTTACTCCAGTCATCACCCACGGAGACAACCCTCCAGCCAGCAACAGAAACTCCGAGGCCGATACAGTCGTCCCCCTCCAGCCTGTTCTCAGTCAAGATCCTAGTCGAGTACGTCCTGGCTCTCGCACCGGTAACTTTGTCACTCCCAAGACGGCTCGCTTCTCTCAGGATGGCGGAGAGCCCCTTCAGTACTCTGGAGGTTCCATGAAATCGTCTCGACGACGCTATCGTGGTGAAGACTACGACTTTGACCAGGCTGCCGACTACCCCACAGTGAATGACTATGAGCGATACTGGCGGAATGAAGGTCGCCATGATCGTTACACTGCTAGAAGAGGCCCTTATCCACCTCCCACATTCATGAACCGCCGCCGAGCGCACCCTCATGATTCGGACGAAGAGTTCTACAGCAGTGATGACCCTCGCATGCCTCCCAGTGGCGGACGCAGAATGATGGACGAGGAGATGGGATACCCTCATCGGCCTATTCATCACCGACGTGCTTCTACCCTCAATGGCTTCAACATATCTACAGGCAAGCTTGAGTGGAGTGACCTCAGTCCCAAGGAGAAATCAGAGATCATGCGTCTTCCTTTGACTCAATGGATGAACTCGAATTTCAAGAACCACTTTGTCGCCAGTCTCGGTGAGCTTATCGGCACTACCATGTTCCTCTTCTTCGCCTTTGCCGGCACAGAAGTTGCCAATATTCAGGCACAAACCGACAGCAAGACTACCACAGGAGAGTCTACTGGCAGTCTCAACGTTTCCAAGCTCCTCTACATCTCCATCATCTTTGGGTTCTCGCTCATGGTCAATGTTTGGGTCTTCTTCCGTATCAGCGGTGGTCTCTTCAACCCTGCCGTCACTATCGCCATGTTGATGGTCAAGGCTATTAGCATGACAAGAGCTATCTGCCTGTTCCTCTCTCAGATTCTTGGGTCAATGCTTGCCTCCGTTATGGTGCGATACTTGTTTCCTGAGACATTCAATGTTCGGACTACTCTGGGAGGTGGTGCATCTCTGGTTCAGGGTGTGTTCATTGAGGCTCTTCTTACTGCTGAGTTGGTCTTTACCATCTTCATGCTTGCCAAAGAGAAGCACCGAGCCACATTTATAGCTCCCGTCGGTATCGGCCTGGCTCTTTTCATTGCAGAGATGGTCGGTGTTCAGTTCACTGGTGGGTCGCTCAACCCTGCCCGAAGCTTTGGTCCCTGTGTCATCACCGGTACCTTCGACTCTGAGCATTGGATCTACTGGGTTGGTCCTGGAATTGGCTCTCTCATTGCTGTCTGCTTCTACTGGTTCATCAAGACTCTCGAGTACGAGATGGCTAACCCCGGTGCCGATGGTGATGATCTCAACGATCCTACTAAAAACCCTGAGAAGCGAGCTGAAGTACAGTCTAACGCTGTTCCTTCGATCGCATTTGGCGGCGGCAAGACACCTTCGATCCGCAGCTAAAATGACGAGTTCATGAAAACATGACTGCTATGAGTGAAAACAAGATGGATACGGTCCATCAACGATACACGATGAAAGTTGATGAGCAAATCCAATGATGCTTCATGAAATCAAATACATGACAAATACACGAAATGCGAACACGCCAGAGATGGATAGGAAATCGGGATTTTGGTACTTGTTTCTTCTGATATTGCGCCTTGAATGGTTGGAGTTTGGTTCGGTGTTTCGTTAACTTGCTAATGCCCGGCAAATTTGTTGCTTCGAGACTGGTTTCTTCAAAAGAGGAGTGTATATATAGAGCTTTTAGGTAGAAAGATTTGACACAGGTCTCCGACTCGAAACCGTTTACACACAAGTTGTTGAATGGTGCTTGACTCTGGGGTCACCTTGATTACAACACATAATGCTTTCGGTCTGATAGAGTTATATATTCAGGAATATCTAACGATAGTTGGTGAGATGATGACCGAGTAATACTTCTGGTATTTTAGGTTCTGCCAGGAACTATGCTTCCAAAGACACTTGGGTCTGGTCTTCAGGTTCTCGAATCTTGTGCTTCTGCCGCGATCGTGGACCTAGCTGTCGTCTACCAATGCAATGTTACGTCCAGTCATATTCATCTCATACCACCCTTCCAAAACTACCCAAGCCTTGTTTTTCGATGTATATCAGACTGCAAAGAATTGATTCTTGACGCTGCATCCTTATTCTATAGCTGTCTGGCGTAAGTTGCGCTGGCGTCGAGCTCGCAGTGTGCTCATGATGAAGCAGACGATGCAGTACGAGATGGCAAAGCCAATGACACCCCCAAGACTACCAAGCATGAAGCCGGCCCCAGCGTCTCGAGAGAAGCCGACAGGAAGAGATCGACCAGGTTGAGGGGTTTCAAGGGTCCCGATAGCAGGGTTGTTCATTGTTGTTGCAGATGATGGTTCTGGACAGCAGGGTCCAAGATTCTCTCTTACAGTGGTTGAGATTGTGTAAAATGGTTCCTGTGTATGTTCTCCTGTATTGTATCTAAGGTAGTTAGGTAAGTTGTTCACTATGGAGGCGTGCAGCTAAAGAACTCACTTCTGTCTGTTGATCGAATAGAGCTTAGCAATGATTCTTTCTGGTCAAAATCTAGAGGCACGTATAGTTCTGTGTTCTGGGATTAGTACTTATTTTACTGGAAGAAGAGTCGAGATTGGGAGGACGTAACATGGTAAACAAAAGTGAAGGTATAGTTGCTACGGCGTTTGTATGCAGCAACATGGCAGTGACAGTGGCAACCAGTTTGCAGATGGCAGTGAACATTCAGCTTCAAACGGAGTGAATAGAGGAACTTTGGGGAGGGCATAGCTAACTGATCCGTTCAATTTCTCATGATTCATTGTCTGGTTGTGCTCGTTTGTAAAGTGATGAACAATATTGAGAAGTTATCTTCCTGCAGAGCCAGTGAGTGTTTGTATCTCATGTTCATTGGGATGACATGACATATTCTGGCTGAAGAATACAATTGAGTAAGCTCCATATATAGATGAACCATCTTGGCCGGTTCGGAGTTAGTCGTGGCTTTGGCCCATTTGATAGGATGGAATCACAGTTCCACGTCGACGTTGAAAATCAACGTGAACTTGGTAGAGCATTCTAAGTGTATCGTAACTGCAAATACTCTGAGTTTAGAGAAGACGATAGAGTTATCCGTTCCGCACTTTGCCTTTAATAAACTTTACGACCTCACTTGAAACTTGACTTAAACCCAATGGTCACTGTTGATCATCTATCATGACTAGGTAGCATCTGGTTCATCCTGTGATCACCATATTCCAATGACCTTCTTCCATCTTCAAGTCCCCAATCTGAAGCTGATCCTCCAATAAGCTCACAAGCAAGCCCCGTTGGCTCAGTGGTAAAGCGTATCACTAGTAATGATAAGATCACTGGTTCGATTCCAGTACGGGGCAAGTGAACTTGTTCCTTTTATATTTTTGCTGAATTCACAAATTGCTGTGATCTTACGAATGATATCGTATCGTAAGATAAGTGAGGATTTGGTGTTGAGACTGATTTTTGTAGTTTCATTCTGTTGCTACGATGTTTACTTGTGTAAGCTACACCTTAATGAACGTCTGAAGAAGAAGGGTAACAGACTGAGAAATAGTCCCCTCCCGTAAACGTAAAGTCACTTACTGAAACGATATATGAACATGGATCCAGCCTTTTAATGCATCACCATCACATCGGGATGACCGAGTCTCGGTTCGAGCCGTGTACGGATAGTGGGGGATAAGATGAGGGAGCATCATGAATGCCGGGTCCTTATACTACCTACCTTAGGTACATCATGATCATCACGTCTACCCTAGACCAAACCCCCTCAGTCTTGTTCAATGTTCATGTCCAGGCGACTTATAGAACAGAAGAACTTAGCCTACCTAACCACATACATATATACAAGTCACGGGAGATCTTTATTCTTTCTTGGCCGGTACAAATGTCGGGTGTAGGTGCCCCATGACATGTCTCAGTTCATCACCCTAGTCCAAGTCATAGCCGTGATGACTTGACGAGAATCACTTTATCCCAGCCAAAAAGCGGAGAGTCTTGGCCAGTGCAATCATCAAGATCAGGCATGAAAGAGGAAGAGAAAGTGGAGCTAGCATTAAATTCCACTTGATCCTAGTCTCGTCGAGATGGCGCGTGCCCTTTGAACAGAATCGATTAATGAAATGGCGTTTTATAGCCCTGTCTGCCTTAAAATATGTCTTATTTATGGCAACTAATAATCAAGCACGCGACAAATGCAGATGCTTTCGTTTCGAACCACAGGAAAGAGAGAGAGAGAGAGAGAGAGAGAGTCTAGAAGGAGAGAGAAGCAGGTAATCATGTATCATCATTCAATTAAAACAATGGAACCAGGATTCAAAGTTGAAGTAAGTAAATTAAAATTGATGTCATCCGCCCACTCGGCCCCCTTTTCGCTTGGGTACCTATGTTGGTTGATAAGTACAGCCAGTATCCGTACAGTACATACATGATGATAGGCGCTGCCGAGCCATGGTTGGGTAAATGAGTGGAAATTTGGCGAAATAGAGACTTGATAACGAGGGCTACACCAAGAAACAACAATAGGCTCATGATTGCTAGAATGTGCCGTGATGAGATGAATTCGTTGTTGCCTGTATCTCAAAATAGGGGTTCTGAGTTAATTACAGGCTCAGGAGGAGTCTGCATGTAATGCAATGCAATGCAATGCAATGCAATGCAATGCATTGTCTTTCTCTTCTTGTCTTGTCTTATTGATGATGATGATTTGGGGGCGTGTGTGTTCCACCACATACGACCTCGTCACGACCAGGCCATCTCGGCTGTTGATTAGCCATTAAATCGATACGGAGAAGCCATAATTATCCATTAAACAAATAGTATAGAAACATTTTCTTCATCTGCTCATCCAGTCTCGAACGGGACAAGGGGGGTCGTATCACCGTCTGTTTGCGGGGGCGTAAGGACTATTCAAGGTTATTTGATCAATGCACGGATATTGGCGACAAAGAAGAAGGTTGTATGTACTGTCTTTATCTGACAGTTTTGATGGACGGAAACTATGTATCATTCGACTTTGTTGACCTCGATATCACTCACTAGGTGGTTAACCATAGCATCTGGTCTGTCATGCATGGAGAGTTTATGAACAATGTCTTACCTTAGTTTTCCTCCTGACGCTTTCAACCACGTTGTCACATCTCCAGACCAAACAAACAAACAAACAAACAAACCATCGAGTCTCTCACCTAACCGCTTTCACACTGATCATCGACTCTTTGTTCTAAATCGCTACATCACCATCTCTTGCTTCAATCCGCATCCGTAGGTGGAAAAAAGGTTCATTCAAAGAACCTGAACCTAACCTCATGCACACCCTACCTAGGTACGGATAGGTATTTCAACATCACACGCCCCCCTACCAGAAAAAGCCGCTAATTCCAGGGGACTTTCTGCCCTAGGGACAGCTGGAGTGGATCTCACAGTGAACCCCTCCCCCTAACAGATGCGCTGTGCGCGTGGGCGTCGGGTCGCGTGTGGGGCAAATGGGAGCCCAGGGGCCAGAGCCCACTTCATCTCAGGAAATGGCTGTCGCTAGCTCTAGCTCTAAAGGTAGAACCCGTCCCTTGGAAACTTCCATTAATTACGGCCACTACAAGTGCCTCTCTCTCGTGTTGTCTTTAGAGCTGAGCTGCTCCCGTCTCGTTTCTCCCTCCATCATTCATTCTCATTCTCAACTCTTCATCTCTTTGCGCTTCAACTGTGATATCCATTGCAATTCCATATTCCTCGACCTTTAGCTTTACTTCGCTCAGCTTCTATCATATTAATCTCGTATAATCAGCAATATGACTCTCACCGACGAAGAGCTCGATCGCGACTGGCAGCCCAGTGGCCGTCGCCCTCAATCGTCTGTATCCCCCCCCCTATGCTCACCTCAATTGAAGACGCCTGCCATGTCGTCTACAGAATCAATGTGATCGCGAACCAAGACCTAACATGCCTCTCTCGTATAGTACCATCGCCCGCTCTTTTAGTGCAGAGTTGATGGACATCTTCCGCATCGAGAACTCGCTCACCGATCTGGATCAGCAAGTCCACGATAAGTTGGTCTACCACTTACTCACCGTTTTACACCAGAAACCTTGCATCTAACCGCATTTCGCCTTGTCCAGGAAGCAAACAGTCGACAAGAACACCGAAGAACTCGCCTCTCTCGAAGCCCGCATCCGCGAAATGGAAGATCGCCTACGTCGCTCTGTAGGCGGCACCCATCAGCGCTCTCCTCTGCCACAGGTCCAGACACAGAACACCAACCAGTCCCAGACTCAGCAGCAGCAGCAGCAGTCAAGCTCCCTCGATGCTCCCTCGGACGACTCCAAGGCTCGCTCACGACCGGGAACTGCCCGCGCTTCTCAGCAAGCTCCCTCCTCGGGCAACATGCCCCCGACCCCGGGTGCCAGTGAAGGTGAATACTACGTCGTCACCCGCGATGACTTACAAGACGGCCCGCGCTGACGAATATCTTTGACTTTTTATAAAGACGGAGACCATGAATAAAGCAATCTGCCCTTTTTTGCTGCTCCCTTTCTCTGCATGAACCATTCAATTCTATCGAGGGCCAATTCTCGCTCATCACCGCCAGTCAGCCTCTTACAAGAGATGATGTCGCCCCTCTTGAGCTAGTGGACGGTAGCGGGCGCGGTGAACCAACGGCTGAGCTGCATGCAACCTTTGGCCAGACCGCAATTCTCACTCCAACCCGACCGCTCATCTATCTTTATGGGGAACATGTTTCAAAACTGACTCGGCGCACGCCTCGACGACTGGCCAATTCATTGTTTTGAAGAAAGCCACGGATTACAGCCGAGGCGCATTAATAACGTCAAACGCCCTCGACTATTTTTTGTTATTAACAATGCTTTCCGGTTGCTGGAGTTTTCAGGACCCCGGAGAAATCAACGGCGCATCCCCAGCCTGAAGCCCCCCCTTTTTTTTGTCGTTCGCTACCAAGATTCCCGGCGTTCATAGAGGCAGCATTTGCAACATCATTTTACTATTATTTTCATCCTCCCGCTACAATTGTTGCGTCAGGCTGCTGCATATTGTTTATGGGAGGATAGCGTCCACGTCTGCGTCTGATAGGTATTGGATTGGATGGACTGGACCGGGGACTGTTTGTATGAGTTGAGATGAGATGGAATGAATAGGACGGGAATGTATTTGGATGGACTGGTATGCATGTCAATTGATAGCAAGTGCATCAACATTGCCTCAATCGACTTGAATTCACGGCCGAGATAATGAGGTTTATATGTATTTCTTCCATTTAAGGCACACGTGGAAAGATAGGGGTAATTCTTTACCTTGTCACTCGAACAATGCCTCACTTCTGCCCCTGAGTTCTGATATCGCTTTGACTTTATTACACATGGCTGGCTCTAGGTCTTCTCATCTTACAAAGCATCACAATAGCCGACCTGTATCGACAGCTCCAGAATTACATACCGACAGCTCTAAGATGCCGAACGCGAAAGCCACACTACTACCACCACCACCACTACCACTACCACTACCAATCGTCGATGTCATCGAGATCCTTGTTGGCAAACCCGACTTTGTTGTTCTCAAGATCGAAGGCGACATACAAGGCTTTAAGCGCAATATCGCCAATGATGGTAACACCTAAGCTCTCTGCACTTTGCAAACCGCCCCAGCAGTAGTCCGAATCGTTGTCGGTTGTGCTGTAGCTGAGGTACGGTCCTGGAATTCTCAGAACGTGCTCTGTGCCTGGCACCTTGAACATCAAGTCTGGAAGATCGTTGGAAAACTTGCAAGGAAACGTGAACGAGTCGCCGAGACGAGGATCAACCCGCATGTCTGGAACGTCGTACCAGTACATACTGGCCAGATCCCCGGGCAAAAATAGCAGTGTAGTTCCCGTGTCGATAGTAGCCTCAAAAGTGTGAGCCATCCAGACTTGACGAAAACCGGTCCAGGCTGTAGTGTCGAATGTGACGTCCCAATGGGGGCTATCCTCCCGTGTGGCCATCCATGAAATGTTGTCCTTGGCTCGGCTCTCGTCAATGTAACCGAAATCGAAGCGTCCTGTCGCATTTCGACGCATATCAACAGTAAAGACTGGATCATCGAGTAGAGGACGGAGTTTATCAAGAAGAGACGGAGTCGGGGGATCGATGTTGCTTGGAAGAGACTTGGCAAGGCCTAAGATGCCTGTGAGTTCGGTTTCACGCTCGAAGCGGGGAGCGACGATCTGAGCAGACTGGATGGCTGTGTTGTTGAGTTCGAAGTCTCCTAGGCGGACGGTATCGAGGTAGACGATGCCATTAGCATGAGTTCCGTCGACTATCGGCCAGGTCAGCATACCATGTCCCGACGGCATGGGACGAGAGATAATCCTCACCATACTCGACTTCCCATTCGGCATCGCGAAGTCGGCGAGATGTCTTGGAAGAGTTGGGCTTGTATCGAGGAGCCCAAGGACCTTCAGGGTTGGCACGATAGATTGTGTCTGTAGATTGCACCCACCTGAAGTGGAAGTTAGCACAAATCGTTTGTACCCGAGGGCATGCTTCTCACAAGTCTGCAGAGCCAGTGTCGAGGGCCATCTTGAGGGTCTGAGGAGGATTTCCCACTTTGACGTCGGCGATGTAGATTTCATCTGCTCCAAGGGGCTTCACATCGACACGACCATCTGCAGAATAGTTAGCATATGAATGGATGACAAAGTATTAGAGTTATTACCGTCATCAAGAAGTGAGAATGCAGACAAAGTCTCTGGAGAGACACCCTTGCCCCATTTCTGGTGAGCTGCGACCCATTCTCGAACGAAATCGGGCTTGGAATTCGAGTTCTTGGTAGCTTCGAGAGAAAAGCCCTTGCGAGCTTTGTGCTGAGGAGTGATAGAAGCAGAAGCAGAAGCAGAAGCAGAAGCAGAAGCAGAAGCAGAAGCAGAAGCAGAAGCAGAAGCAGAAGCAGAAGCAGAAGCAGAAGCAGAAGCAGAAGCAGAAGCAGAAGCAGAAGCAGAAGCAGAAGCAGAAGCAGAAGCAGAAGCAGAAGCAGAAGCAGAAGCAGAAGCAGAAGCAGAAGCAGAAGCAGAAGCAGAAGCAGAAGCAGAAGCAGAAGCAGAAGCAGAAGCAGAAGCAGAAGCAGAAGCAGAAGCAGAAGCAGAAGCAGAAGCAGAAGCAGAAGCAGAAGCAGAAGCAGAAGCAGAAGCAGAAGCAGAAGCAGAAGCAGAAGCAGAAGCAGAAGCAGAAGCAGAAGCAGAAGCAGAAGCAGAAGCAGAAGCAGAAGCAGAAGCAGAAGCAGAAGCAGAAGCAGAAGCAGAAGCAGAAGCAGAAGCAGAAGCAGAAGCAGAAGCAGAAGCAGAAGCAGAAGCAGAAGCAGAAGCAGAAGCAGAAGCAGAAGCAGAAGCAGAAGCAGAAGCAGAAGCAGAAGCAGAAGCAGAAGCAGAAGCAGAAGCAGAAGCAGAAGCAGAAGCAGAAGCAGAAGCAGAAGCAATGCTGACTACCAAGAGCACAGCAAAAAAAGTGAGGCTCCTCATGATTCAGATTGGAGGAGGCGAGTCGAGGTTGGTCAAGAGAGTGAAAGATGAGGAAGAGAGAGAAGAACTACGAGATAAAGGACAAGAGTTGACTGGATGCTGTAATACACAGGAAGGTGTAACTGGGAGAGAGATTGACGAAAGAAACAGAGAAAGAAGGAGGGAAAACTGGAACTTGGTACCTACAGGTAGGTAGGTTAGGGCCAGTGAATCATCTAAATACTGGATCAGACCCAGAGGGAGAGAGAGGGAGGTGCTACAGTTGGTGACCTTGCAGCTATCAACACTGTCGGACACTTTCTCGGCCAAGACAGTCTATTAGCAATCTAGGTAGGTACCTTACTACCTATAGTACTTTAGCTCCCGCTACCTTTTCGCAACGTCTCATTCGAGTAGTAGAAGCCGAGACCCCTATATCACCAACCTCCATATCAAGGTCCTCGGCCACGCTCTGTACCACCCGAGAGCCACTCCCTCCCCCGTAGACGAGCCCATCACCTCGCGTCGACCATTACACAACCTCTTGTAATCGGGTCGTTTTCCTCGCCTACAGCTCCAGCCCAGGGACAAACACGGGAACCTGCAACTGCGACGTAACAATGCATCAATATCCAATCCACGTCTTTGGTAGCAACAAACAACGACGGCACATTGAACATTCCACCTTGAAAATACGGATACGGAGGGGGGGGGGGCTGTACTCGATTTGGGTCATGATACTGGCTCACAAGACCACGAGGATGGGTAACGATACTACTAACCTACCTTACCTACCTTCAGGTATCTAGACATGGACGTGGAACAGGTAGAGACAGCAAAGGACACGATATAATGCTTCGTTACTCACGGATCCGTGGACCAATGTACCCAAGCGATACGGCCCGTGGAACAGGACCGACATATCAAACATCTCACATTTGATCCCATTCTTCATTCATTGGCGAGAAATTCACATGTCCATCTTCATGGTATTCTACTTCATATGGTAGGTATAGTATAGTCAGAGTCAGATATTCTATCGTTCGTCATCTGAATCAATCAAGATGCGTATCAACAACCAGCTCCGACTTCTTCATTTTCGTTACAAGAAAGCCAAGATCAAAAGTCAATACGCCGTTGTCTATAGTTCGTCGTGAGTCTGCTTCTTCTCTCCCTCGCTCTTCTTGTTCTTCTCATTCTTCTCGTTCTCCTTCTTCATATCGTTGAGCAACTTCTCGAGCTGCTCCTTATCGATCTCACCGTCCTTCATGAAGTCCTCAGCGTTAAGCTGCACTGTCTCTTGTGATGCCTCTCCGCTTGTTGTCTTGCTCTTCTTGCTCTTCTTCTTGGCCTCCTTGGCAGCCTTCTTGGCTTGTCGGTTCTTCTCCTCCACCTTTCTCGCACCCTTGAGGGCGGCCTCAACGCTGGCCTTCTCGAGCTTGTCACGCTTGGTCTTCAGGTCCTTGATAAGGAGAACAGGATCGGCAGTGGCAGCAAGCTTAGACTGCTTGGCCTCGAGCTTATTCAGCCAGTCCAGTGTGGCCTTGTGAAGATCAATGACTTCCTTGAGATCCTCCAAAGTGTACAGAGGAGGGATAGGTCCCTTCTCTCGAATGACCTGCTCCATTTTGCGGGCCTCCGCAACCGCAGGATCTTCGTCTTCCAATCCGTCAAAGTCACCCGTGGCCTTCTCTTGCGCAGCCTCTGTGCTAGAAGATTCAATTGATGAAGATGCGGATGCGGACTCAGAGGCGGACTTGTGCCAGCTCTCGTGCTCGGCAATCTGCCCCTTGATCTTCTCGACAAATCCCTGGGTGTTCTCCAGAGTCTGCTTCAGTGCAGTAAGGTATTCAGGTCGCTTCTCAGTCTCTTCAACTCTCTTCTGAATGGGTGTGACCAGGTCTTTGAGAACCTTGAGCTTGGACTTGAGGACATCCTTGGTAGCCTCTGCACCATCAGCATAGAGCCAGTCACTTGTCTCGCTGGCAAGTTCTGCCAACTTGGTCCTCTCCTTCTCAGTAGAAGCCTCAATAAAGGCATCTCCCTCTAGGAGATCTCTAATCTTGTAGGTGAATGCCTCGAGGTGGTTGAGAGCCTCCTCTCGCTGTAAGCGTGCCTTGTCAGAGGCAGCAAAGGCCTTGAGGCGATCCTTAGCCTTGGAAATCTCGGCCGGTGTAAGGGCAGGGATACCACGGTTCTCAATGGTGATCTCAACAGGGATACCGACAATCTCTCGCTTCTTGACCTCAGGCTTGACCTCCTCGGTGCTTCCGGAAGCGGCAGAGTCGGCTGCTGAAGCGGTAGCAGAGTCAGGAGAGGCAGTGGAAGAGGAAGACTTGTCATCCTTCATCTCTTCCTCAGAACCTTCACCCTCCTTGAGAGGCTTCTGATCCTTCTTCCCAAAACCGAACAAGTTCTTGACGCCATCTACTAGGCCTTCCTTAACCTCGGCCTCGCACTCAACAGCAGCCTTGGCAATCTCAACCTCACCATTCTCGCCGCTGAGCTTGACACCGAGCTTGAAGCGAACCTCAGACTCGACGCAAGAGGGGTACTTCTGCTTGATAGCAGCGATAGTGGCAGTCAAGTTCTTGGTAGTCAGAGTCCTAACATCCTTCTCATCAGAGCCAATTTGCTGGTAGAAAGTAGCAGTGAAATCCTTCTCGTTGGTGAATGTAAGCTCCTTAGGGGCAGCGCCTTGAGGCGAGGCCGCAGACCAGAGTCGCTGGTGCTGAATCTTTCCCTCCTTGGCCTCCCACTTCACACCAGAGGGGTAGAAACCGCCCTCGGCAATTCGAATCTCCTTGACACGGAAGCTGGGGCTGAGCTCAGCAGCGCGGAAGCCAGCACCGAAAACGGCGGCCTCATCCGAGTTGACGTTGGATCGAATCTTCTCAGGAGATCCAGAGACCTTCTCAAGGACCTTTTGGATGAAAGGAGTGCGAGAAGCACCGCCATGGAGGATGATAGAGTCGATGTCAATGATGTCGAGGTTAGCGGCCTTCAGGGCATCGTTGATGACAACAGTGATTCTCTCTGCATGCTCAGCAGCCATCTCCTCAAACTGAGTGCGGGTGATCTTGTATCGGAAGTCGATGTCCTCATACAAGCCCTCGAAGCTGGCTCCGGTGTTCTGGTTGGCACTCAAGACATGGCGAACCTTCTCGACTTGGTTGGTGAGCTTCGCAATGGCGCGGCCGTGGGACTTGACGCTCTCAGCAGCGACAGAAGCCCTCTGAGCGGCTTTGGACTCGACAAATTGCTTGACCATATCATCTAGAATGAGGTTGTTGAGGGAGTCACCGCCAAGAGTGCGATCCCAACCAGCGCCTAGGACGTGAACTTCCTGAACGGTCTTGTTGAACTTGCCAATATCTTTAATAGATCGACCCTGGAACTTCAAGATAGTGGCCTTGGTGGAGCCAGCGCCCATGTCGAAAATGATGTTGTACTCGGGCTTAGATCCATTGCTGACGTTGGGGAACTCCCGGGTAGTAGCGTAGTTCAATCCAACGGCCAGACCATCGCTGAGAAGTCCCAGAACCTTGAGACCAGCAAGCTCAGCAGCAGTCTGAAGAGCCCGCTTCTCGTCGGCGGTATAGAAAGGAGGAACAGTCAGGACAATGGAGCGGACAGTGCTTCCATCGCCAGCAGCCACCTCAGCGTTCTTCTGGATACTCTGCAGCTCCATAGCGAGCAGCTCCTCCACCATCCAGGCTTCCACATCGTCAGTAAAAGACTTGCTCTTGAATGCGGCGGTGCCTCGTGTAGGATGGGACTGCAATTGCAGCGCGGGGTGTCGGGCAGCGTACTCCTGAACCACAGAATCTTGAGTGGTCAGGCCGAGGATGGTCTTGAGGTTCGGGTAGACGTCGCTGGGGAATCGAGAGGCGAGAGCCATGGCGTCGGCACCATAGGCCCTCTCGGGATATTCGCCCTTCTGAGGTCCATTTCTGGAGGGCTTGAAGACAACGGCGGAGGTTTCTTTTCGTCGGGAGTCCTTCGTTAGGACGATTTCTAAAGGAATTCCAGGCTTGACAAGAGTGGCCTTGATGTACTCGGTACCAAGGTCGACACCCAAGACAGCCGAGATTGCGAAAACATTTGTGGCGAAGAGGAAGATTGTCGCCAAAAGCGTCATGAGCGGCGAGACTCGAGATGCCATGATGGTGGTTTTGGTGGGGTGCGCTCAGTTGCGCACACCAATTCGCAGAGAGTATGTCTTTTTTTTTTTTTTTTACGAGGAGCGTTGCCTCTTGAGAAAAGAGAGCAAAAAGACGATATCGTCTATGGGCAGGAAAATAAAAGGCCCGGAGAAACTCTTTTTGTATATATAAGTTGCAGAAGAGAGAGAGAGAGAGAGAGGAGACTGGACGATGTGGCCAGAATGGAGACCTCTTCCAACGGGGGGAGCAAGAAGCCACGATGGCTGTTAGAAGCTAGGTAGGTAAGTTAGTGGAAGCGTCCAGCCACTCATGGAAAGAGGACAGCTAACAATAGGTATTATAGCGGCGGTGACGTTAGTTCCCATGCAAGGCTGAGAGACAGATAAGACCGAAAACTCGAAATTATTGGAGCGATAAGAATTTACAGTGGAACATCCGAGTCAATGCCTCGCTCTAGCATCGAGTTCTACCGACCGAATAGTGACAAGTGGCCTATTTGGTCTCAGAAGTTCATGATGTTTGGTAATTAGGCTATAACTTATGACGGTGTGGAGGTAATATAGGTAATATCTAGGGTAATTTCATGATCATACTGACTCGATTTAAAAATTGTATAGTACGATTTGGGGATAAGAGTTCAATCGTGTAATATAGACAGACATGATATACGAGACATAAGAACTGTTTCGAACTAAGGTACCTACTTTGCAAACAAGACATGTTTCTTGGTGTTTGATCTCACATAGTATCAGGTCTACCTGCCCCAGTACGGAGAGTCAGTGGAGTCTTATTATGGCCTTATCATGAGATTGAACGCACGTGGCCTTTGCTAACTTCTCTTCCTCTTCAGTGAACAGTGTGGTCAATTTATCTACCAATAACATGACACTTTGAGCTCCCCACATTCTCCAAGACCCCTGTCAACCCTATGACGGCACACTTTCGAGCTGTAGCTTCCACCCTCAGCCTCGTCATGATGCAGCATAACATGTCTAGCATCATGTAATGAGACAATACTCTTGACATAGCATGTAGTACCGATCCTCATGGTAGTATTTGAAGCATACTATAACTCAATGGCTCAGTTCGCCATATTCACACTACTTTGAGTCATGTATCAGACCTCAAACACATTTGGCGGGTATCCATTCACATTATTTACCTACTGCCTAATCCCCGGAAGGCCTATTTTGTTACAAAGGTGTAGAGAACTCCAACCGACACCGTGGCCAGATGTATAACCGAGTCCCAAAATCATCAAAACCCCAAAATGCAAAGTCCTCAAGTCCACCGTCCGTCCCCTGGCTATTCGCCCTAGATAGAAATCTTGACTTGTAAACGCCGTCATCTCATGGTGTACATTTGCCCCCGGGGGATAAAAGGAGATTCGTAAGTTTGTGTTTTTACCGCATGCCATGTTTCGAGGTGCTTAGGCCTCATCGCCGCGTCGTCCGCCGCGACCACCACCACCACGGCCGCGGCCGCGGCCACGACCATCACCCCGGAATCCACCTCGGCCACGGTGCTCGCCTCGTCCGCGACCTCGGTGGTTGCCACCTTCGTTACGGGGACCCTTTCGCTGCACCTGGTGGAATCCGTCGTTGGGATCAGCAGGGGCAGTGGTCTGAGTTGTTAGCATCTGATTGTATATCATCGAATGAATAATCAGCTTACCTCAGGGTGGTCATCAGCCCAGGAGTGGGTGTTGGCGACGCGAGTAGGAGCAGCAGCATCAGCCTCAACAGCCTCGGCAGGCTTCACATCGACCCACTCCTGTGAAGCGGACAGATCGTTGCTCGTGTCCCAATGGCTTTCGGCGACGGCGTTAGCAGCGTCATCAGCAACACTGGCGTTGGCCAAGCCGTTGGAGGTGGAAGAGGGCTCAGTGACAGCGGGAGCGGCGGTGTCGCCAGCCTCAATCTCAGTAGCGGCAGCGTGCGCAATAGTAGGATCGGTAGCGACATCCTTAACATGCTCGACCTCACCCTCGGCAGGCTGGGGCTCGTCAAATTGAGTCTTGTACTCTTGAGCGAGGGCCTTGACCTTGGAGACTAAGTACCGTATTGTTAGAAAAGACAAGTCCCAAGCTGAGCTGCTTTAGGATACTCACAAGAGGTCTGTAGCTGCTCGCCAGGCACGCTGTAAATCTGATCCTCAGAGCCGTTGACAAGCTTGAGCATAGACTGCACAGCATTCTCGTCACCAGAGTAGATAGCAAGAAGTACACCCTCGATAGCTTGGCTCTCATCGGAGTCGGGGTCTTGGGCTTCCTCGCGGCGATAGGCAGCAAGTCGCAAGAATTGTGAGAGGACGAGGAGGTTGTCGTGGAGAGACTTGGTAGACTCAGCCTTGGCCTCTGCAACAGCATCGGCCTTGGCTTTCTCCAAGTTCTTCTCCCATTCTGCCTTGTCACTGGCGGCACGTGTGCGGTACTGCTCGTCAACCTTTTGGTATTGCACAAGCTGTTCCTCGTATTGCGCTAGCTGGGCCTGCAGAGCGGGCTTCTTGAGGATCTGGGTCTTCTGGTCGTTGTTGATGATTCGAGACTCGACCAATTCATCAAGGGACTTGCCAGGGTTCTGGCTCAGGAGGGAGTCGGTCTTGGAAGCGTTGGTCTAACGGTAAAGTCAGTATGAGGATGATCGACAGTTGGGCTGCAACAAGGCAAAAAGGCACGTACGATCTTCTTGTTGACATTTCGGATGTTCCTTTGTGACCGTTAGCAATCTGCCGTCTGTGCATATGAAACTCAAGCTTCAGAAACGTACTTCTGGATCTCCTTGATGTATGGGCTCTCGAAGCTGTCATCGCTGTTCTTATCGGCAGTGGCAGAGGCAACGCTGGGCGCAGGAGATTCGGTTCGCTCGAGGGCCTTGGCGGCCTTCTTCTTCGCGGACTTGGAAGGCTGAACAGCTTGAGCGGCCATCGCGGTAGGATGACGAGATCGTGTGATTTGGTGGTAGAGAGTTTGCGCGGAGACGTTACGGCACTGTCAGCGATGTGTGCGACAGGCTTACAGAGGAGATGGTTCGTTGAGTGTTTGAGAAATTGAAAATGCTAAATGCTAGAGATGCGCGTAGAATGGTTTGGAGGAGAAGAGTTGATTTTTGGGGGAGGCAGTTGGTGGAGAAGAGTAATAAGGCGAGGTAGCTGAGGTGAACTGGAGCAGGAGCAGGAGAAGTCCGAGTTGGGTTGTGGTACAACGAAGCTTTGCCTGTCTGTGCCCGCCAGTGCCAGTAACTAACACTACCTAACCTCAGCGTGCCCAGGCAACCCCCTGCATTGACACTGGCATTGTTTCTGGCCGAGAATACGGGGCTGTCATGTCAATTGCTTTATACCTACAGTTTTGGTCTAAAATGGTTTCACATCATAATGAATTTTAGGCTGGGTGCAGTATTTTCTTTATCAAGACTCATCCATTGTTTGTCCTAATCTATGTTGGTTGGTTGTTTGTACGGATAGAGACGGAGTGTTCTCTCGTTGGTCTGCATCATCGTCATGACAAGAAAAGCCCCACCCAATCGTCGCATTCCGGCAGCTGAGATGAGGTTAGGTGGGTGGTCTCGTGCGCAAGCGCTATAGTCTTTCGACCTCGCGATGCCCTCTGCCCAGTCGCGGAACCCGTCAGGGGTAATCATACAGTGCCTCAATTCCGAACTCTTTAATGGCTGCCGTGTATGTGATACTGTTGCATTATGTCGGATGTCGCGTCCATTCATCTATGCCTTTATGGCTGGCTCTCAAAGGTGGCACGGCTCTTGAGGATCGCAACGCTGTTGTAGGTTCGGTGGGGTTTGTTGTTTGTCGCAGTTCTTCGTTTGGCTCAACCCTTGAATTTGGTCAATGTATCCTAGACAGCATGGATCAGCAGATGCGAAGAGAAGATGCTTCACAAGACATACTCTCGTCACCTTCTTGACGCTCCTCGCAGAGAGACCTCGTTCGCCCGACTGTTTCGAATGGATCGCCGCTTCTTTGACAAGACTTTTAACTTAGTTAGTTTAGGCCGTCGTGGTATAGAAGGACTCGTCGGATTCGTACGTTTCCATGAATAGGACGTAGTCGAGGAAGATCTAAGACAAGTAAACATTAGCATCAATTGCGGCCATGAGAACGTCTAAACGCACAGTAACATCGGCGTTCTTCTTCAAATTGTGGTTTGAATGAGCCTTGATGATCTTCTTGACCGTAGCCTTGGGGTATGGTTTCTTTCCGAGTGCCATGGTTGATGAGAAATGGTTGTTGTTTTGTTAGTTGCAGTGTTGACAATACGCGTTCTACCGTTGCTACTCTGACCTCACTGATCTGCTTCGGGAATAAGCCAATCGGCAGCGCCCGAGAAGTCTACAGTAGGTACGTACCTTGCCTTGAGCTTCGTGGGCGGGCAGTTCACACCCTCAAATTGAAGTAGCCCCTGGCTCTGTCTCAGGGAGGGGTGTACAGTGCTAGTGAATCACAACGGCCAAGCACACGCACTGTAACCCACCTTTGGATTTGGGTTGGTTGAGCGCAAGGCTCACAAGCTAGAGATCTGTACAATAACGACAGCATCTTCAGTCTCCCACCATGGCTTCATTAGTACAACGTCGTATGGTGAGCTTTCAATGATCAAAAGTATGATCTTATTATGTCTGACAGTTCTCTAGCTTTCAAAGGCGGACGAGGAGGCAGCCGACGAAGTTGAGGTTCGACGTGAGGACCAGGACAAGATCAACAGATTCAGTCGCCTACACCAGCGAGAAATCCTGCTGGAGGAGGAACTGAGCACAAAAACCGTACGTCTACGAAATACGAGCATTGGGGTGTCTCTAAAGCCTCGCCGAACACCGACTGATTCAATATTGCTGTATAGAAGGAAAAGGAAGAGCTTGACGATTTGTCTACCGAACTTGAACTCGCCGATGAGGACGAAAAGATCCAGTACGAAAGCGAAATACCCCTTAAAGCGAAAACACAAATAGACTGACTTGGACACAGATACAAGATTGGCGATGCCTTTTTCCATGTCTCGGTAGAGCAGGCTCAGGAGATGCTGGAGCAGGCAACAGAGAAGCTCGAGGAAGAGTCAACATCTTTGGAGGAGAAGCTATCATCTATCCGCGAGGAGATGACCAAGCTCAAGGTCGAGCTATATGCCAGATTCGGAAAGCAGATCAACCTAGAAACTTGAACAAACAAAGAAAATCGAAGCCTGATACCCCCTCCAAAGAGAAGAGACCAGAAAAAGCCACACCGATTTCAGCCGGAAGAATTCTTATCCAGTCTCTCGTGAATGCAGCAATTCTTCTGCACATCACAACGTTTGTGGGCAACCTTATTTGTAATCCCATTGGGGGCCGCCGGTCACGCACTCCGGTATCGAGAGCCGGGTCAGCAACTTGGTATGGAAGAGCTCAGCTCCTTGGTCTTGTGTCCGGTTGCTATTCCCGGTTTATCCGTCACCAAGAACCACTTCGAGCAACCCCAACTTTGATGACCAAACAACACCGATTCGCTCGCTCAATGAGTTGATTGAAGCTAATGCGGGACCAACTTTTCAGACTATCGAGAATTGAGCTGCGGTTCGGTTCCCTGGGAACTGCTCTGGGGAATGATAACAAAGGTTCCCCTCACCTGCGGAAGAGACTCCCGCAGATAGGTACTATACTCAAGCCCTCACACCCGCCGCCTCCATCATCGGCGCCGCGAAGCCCACCTTTTATCCATGAGTGCCCCATATTTGAGGCCCGGCTCCGGATCTCCTGTTGTGGTAGTCATGGGGAATTGCCACACAGATGCCTCCCCCCATGCATTGGATTACGCCTTACAGTAGCCTGAGTAACACCCCAAATATGATCAGGGAGAGGGAGGGCGTAGCCACTTAGCCCATGGATATGCAACACCCGGATCGGCCATTTTTGAAGTCATGGGGGAGAAGAGTGCATGTAGAACCTATCCACTTCGTGTGCTTGTGCGTATTGGTCATTCTTTTCTTTGCAACATCACATAACTATAGCTGCTATTCCTGTTTTACTCTTCCAATTGATTGTTTTCTCTTGTGAATAGCTTCAGTGCCTCCAGACGCCAAGAAACCATGGCTGCGAGTGAATCCAGTGAGACAACACGGGAACCGTCACCATACCGTAAGTCGTTACTAATACTCTTCTTCTTCTTCTTCTTCTTCTTTCTCGGACTGAATTATTGTTTGTATTCTGGAGTGAGCTCGAACTCACAATTTATTAGGTGGACGGAGGAGAAGTAGCTCATTCTCAGATCATATACATCATCTCGACGAAATCGAGGCTCAATCTCGGTATGAAGAAGAGGCGGCAGACCGAGGTCTCGGCGCCCTTCACAACATCCGTTCGCGGACTCGGAGCCGCACAAACGAAGTGCTCGTCACTTGGGAAGTCGACGATCCTGAGAACCCAGTAAATTGGTCAGATGTATGTCCTTCATCGTGGTTTTGTTTCTTCTCATAATAATGAATGGCTGTAACAGACAAAAAAGCAAATAGTTCTACTATGTACATCCGTTCTCGTCATCAACTCTACCATGGGCTCTGCCCTCCCAAGCATGGCCATTCCTGATATCACCAAAGACTTTGGCATCACTTCGGAAGAACAGAGTGTCTTGCCCATTTCTGTTTACCTCATTGGCTATGTGTTAGGTCCAGTTGTTTGGGGTCCTCTCAGCGAACATTATGGACGAAGAGACCTGAGTCTGGTCACCTTTTGTCTCTTCACCATCTTCACTATGGCTTGTGCTTTGGCCCCGACTTGGCCTGCTTTGTTAATCTTCCGCTTCTTCTGTGGAGCGTTTGCTAGTTCACCTATTGCTATCGTGGCTGGTATCCTGGCAGATGTGTATAATGACCCGCGGACCAGAGGCAGAGCCTTTGCCATTTTCATGGTGGTGAGTATATACTAATGATCTTCAAAACCTCCTACATACATGGTATAAGCTGACCTGGCAATAGTGTACTACCGGTGGTCCCATCCTCTCCCCTATCCTATCTGGCTTCGCTGGCCCTAATATTGGTTGGCGCTGGGTCTTCTGGATTGCTCTCATCATCGCAGGCTCTACACTCGTTCTCATTATCTTTCTCCCCGAGACATACGGCCCGATTCTCCTCTCACGCCGCGCTCGAAAACTGCGCAAACAAGATCCTTCGTCTCGTTCCATTGCCCCTCGAGACCTCGAGACAACAGACCTCAGACAACTTCTCACTGTGGTTCTGACTCGCCCTCTTCGCATGATCATATCTGAGCCCATTGTGACAACCTCTTGCGCCTATCTCTCCCTTGTCTACTCCATATTCTACATGTCTTTCCAGGCATTCCCAATCATCTTCCAAGACGTCTATGGCCTTTCACCTGGCGTTACTGGCCTCGCATATCTTCCAATATTTGGTGGTGCAGCTCTGACCCTCCCAATCTTCTGGACATGGGATAACACACTTGCTCGTGCTACAGAGCGTAATGCCCTCTGGGTCCAACGCGAAGAGTATCGTCGTCTACCTCTAGCCTGTCTCGGTGGCCCCCTCTTCGTCGTCTCTCTCTTTTGGCTTGGTTGGTCTGCCCGTGCAGAGATTCCCTTCGCTGCCCCTATGCTTGCTGGTGTCTTGTTTGGGATGGGTTTCATGCTAATCTTCATGGCCATACTCAACTACATCACAGATGCATATGAGATCTTTGCTGCCTCTGCGAATGCTGCGGCCTCTACAACTCGCTCTCTCTTTGCTGTTGTGCTACCACTTGCCACAAAACCCATGTTCCGTCAACTCCACATCAATGGTGCATGTTCACTTCTCGGTGGCCTCAGTGCCCTCATGTGTTTCATTCCGTTTATTTTCATCTGGAAGGGTCCTAGTATACGATCTCGCTCAAAGTTCTGTATTGCGCTACGCGAGCGAAAGGAGGAAATGCAGCGGAAAGAGGATGAGGCGAGAGCTAGAAAGGAGCGTTATGAGCTCAGGAGTGAAGAGAAGGAGAAGGAGAAGGAGAAGGAAGTCGTTTAATTACGGCACAGCCTCCTTCTTGCTGGTGCAACCTCTGGTCATCATTCTACCCGCGTTTGATCGGATTTCAGCATAACAGGGTACACGGAAGGGCTTGTGAAGTCACACAGACGTTTAGCATTGACTAAAGATACCTGATCTATTGACAAGGGAGCAGAATAACAACACTCTGGTATTAGAGACAGCATCTGTAAGGCTTGTTACTTACAGCAGGCTAAAGAGACAGAATGAATAAGATTCCACAGTTCGACCTTTGTCCACAAGTACATGGTGCTTGTCATGTCCTCTCCTTCATAGGATGTCTAGCATTTTCACAAGTGTGCTTGCCGGCCAACATAGCCATGGTGATAAATTGAGTTTCTTTTAAACAGACTGTTGCGGTTAAGTCGAGCCCTCTTCGGGCGTTCAAGGTTTAGTGTGGGGCTCTATGTCTCTTATACTGGTTCAGGAGTTGCCCAGGGGAGCGCCCTTGATACTCTCGAGTACCGTTAGCTGTGTCTTCTGGTCTTTCACCCTACCAGATTCGGCTTCTGTGCCCGCCCTTGTTTCTCCGTCTATGGTATCATTCGAAAATCGACTCCTTGGTGTGACAAATACATCTGTTGCAGCAATGCTCTCTCTGACCACGCTTGGTGTAAGCGGGACTGTTGGGTCCTCAGCCGCTTCGGCAACGTCGTCATGTTTCGAATGTCGTTGACCAATCGCTTCGTGCATTAAAGCAACTACTCTATCACCCAAGCTCCTGGAAGACTGCGGCTTCGACAGCTCCCTGCCTGGGACATGTAGGTGAGGCTCCCCCTTCATATTGCTGATCTCTCTCCCCAAAGCTTGAAGCTCGGTATATCCAGATTCGGAAGGGCGAATCCCCATTTCGGGATATTCCATACAAGCTGAACCTAAGGCAGCATGTCTTCTGAAATGATCTTGACTGACACGATGTCTAATACCTTTGGATGGGATAATCCGTCCCATCTTTGACTTCACCAGCTCACCAAATTTGGTAGAAAAAGACCGTGGCAGAGTACGTGCACGCTGCTTTGCCTCATCATGGGGCGCATCTGTGGCCCATCTAATCTGACCTTCAGATGTCATGTGCTTGACTGCAAAATCTCTTGGATGCACCCGGTCTCTATCTGTCGCGTTCTTGTTCCTTTCCTCTCGATTGTGGGACGGGAATCTTGACCAAGACTTTGGAGGCTCTGTGAGTCGTGTTAACCTCATGTC